CCTCTGACGGGAATGATTAAGGCCCCAAGACTTTATCCTCCATCCTTTATTCAAAATTGTATCAGACACAATAGCAACTAATCTGTCAACTTCTTCAATCTCGTTATACCAAAGTTAGAAGTCCTGCAGCTAGATGAAGATTTCGCAGCTGGATCCCAGGTCCCCCCGAAATATCTCCCACAAAGTAATCTTTTTCTGAAAAACTGCTCCGTGACAATCATGCGCCTTTTTCTAAACTTCTTGTAGGATTGAGATAAAGGTTCACTCGCTGATGATTTGACTGAATATATTATTGTTATTTTCTTATTGCAAGCTCATAGTTTCTCAATCGAACTCTCACTCGAAATCGCTCTTCATGCCAATAACTGCTTTACAACTTACAAAGGCATTGGACTTATCCCCTCACTTGACACAGAAGGCCTTCGTCATTTGGAATCATCTGTTGGAAAGAGGATGACAGGGCAAAATAAAGAGGTCCGGAAAGTAGGGTGAGAAAGTAGGAAAGTGTTTATAAGAGCAAAACGCTTTCTGTAACTATACATGGAATCTGATAGGAGCCTTAAAATTCTTTTAGCATTGGTCTATTTCGTTTCTGAGATGCGCCCCGCATTTGACTTTCATTCAGGCTTGCCCTGATGTTCTTAGTGCTCACCTAGCCTACTTATGTACATAACGGCTTGCGATAGCCAACCGATGTGTGAGCCAATGTTTTTATCCTCTCAGACTATTCTGGTACCAAGTAAACGATCCCGAAGGGATGGCAGACCCGAATGAACCGATCGTGTGAAGATCAGGGTTTTGATTCCGGACCATGTATGTGATAGTGTAAGCCAGTCCCTGCACCTCTGCCCTTCAGAAAATCCGAAATCTCACCTGTTCCAGTGCGTTTACTTGTGTTGAAATAAAAAAAATGAAAATGTCATCATCAGCTACCGTCATTAGCCGGTCGGTTTGAAGTGTCCATAAATAAGAGCAATTTTGGCTTCTTCCGAACATATAGGCGCGTTCCGTTACTACGGCAACGTAATGGTTGTTGCGTGGGGCCACATCATGCATTGCATTTCTCAGTTGAAAACACCTCCCACCCTCCATTCCAGTTATAAGAGCTCATAAATTTTTCTAATTAAACAGAAGGTTGTTAGGGCTTTCACAGTTTTTTATTGTCAGTCCCGCTGATGCCTTTTTCTGAGGCCGTTCATTACGTATTACCTCGTCACCGTAATCCGTCTGATGTTACCTGTATCACTTATATTACCTGTGATCAAATCCATATCCGTATTACTCTTCGAACGATGCAAGAACCGTCTTAATTTGCCCCTGAAAAGACCAATGAAGTCTATTAGAATCTCCTTGCTCAAGGCAGGCGAGGAAGATCAGTCCTCTCATTCAGAGCTTCTGTGAAGAAGTCTGAACATTGCCCTGGCGGTCGTTCTTGTGCTAGTTGCCTTTACGATCAGTTAGTAGTCGTTCTGCTTCGAAATTTTTTTTTGTTTATTATTTTTTGGATTTCACATAGTACAGTGTTTGTGTAAATTAGCGTGAAATTTAAAAAAAATTATTTGAAAGAAAATAAAGTTATAATACTGTGCTAATTTCCAATTTTAGTTATGATTTTCTGTTTTGGTCAAGTTCAGTATTTTTTGTATCAAAAAAGATATTGATATGGTAAGCACAAACTCATATGACTCATCTATTTTTCGATTTCGTGGGCTTAGCGGATTGCTCGAGGTCTCTGATTTTCGTCAAATGTTTCTTTTCTATTATGTACCTTTGTTTTTTTTCACATGCCAGTCACTTATGCAATTTTTACTTTCTTTATTTCTTCTCAGAAAACCATTTCTGAAATTCAATAATATAGTCGTCTTCCGCATTTCTGTCCCAATTTTATGCTAAAGTATTGATGGGTTGTCGTGGTCTGACCCTCCGTTAAGTTCATGGATGAAAAATGGGTTTATCTTCACGTAGCAGACATGTTTTTCAATACGAATACCTCAGAAGTAGATGGCTTTCTAAGAAAGAAGGAATATAGTTATATGTAAGGGTTTTTCAGTGATTTCTCAGTAGTTTCACTTGATATCATTAAACTAGCTCCCTATTGTACTCATGTATTCCTTGCGCTACCTTCCAGATCATCCTATTTGGAGATGACGGTATTAGACTTAGGCTGGTATTGAAGGCTTTACAAGGGTAAGAGGAAGCTCCTACAGATGTGGTCCGTGTGGTTTCTCAGCTTGAGGAGACATTTTTCTGACAGGTAAGGGTTGTTCAACTTAGGTTGACAAGTGGAAGAGAGCAGCATTTCCACGGCTATGCTTGTCCCTCCTCAAGTAAACATGTATATCAACCAGCTTCATGCATACAAATGAAATCTCATAGAGGTGATCAACTGTGAACGGTGCTTTTTCTGTTTTCTTGGTTTGTCGGGAGCTATATCTTAAAGGGATTCTCATACTTGCTTGAGTGAACATTCGCGTAAACAATCGTTTGTGTTAGAAATAGTAAAACGATAGTTTAGTTTACATATGTTATACCTAAGAATCAGATTCGGTTACAAGACGTAATGTAGAAACTTAGCTAAAGGCATATAACCTTCGAGGTATATAATTCTAAATAACGGAAGTGGAGGTGCAGTACAGTGCACAGTTAGCCAAGAAACCCCGAGACTATGCGGAGTTCGAGACAGTAGATGCAATTTTTAAACTTTATCTATCTAGATTGTTAGTTATCCTTGGGGGGCCACAGATTCATCTCTTGATTTGTGGTAAACCTCAGAGATATTCGTTTCTCTTAAACTGTGCCTTTTGGGTGCGGATTCAACTGCCAAATTTAAAGAACGATGGGAAGCAAGATGGAGCGTACTTCAGTATCCGTGGGGGTTCGGATCGAGAATCAAAATCAAGACTGCAGAAAGTGGAATCTTCAATTTAATGAATTCTCAATCATAACAATTCTTCCTTTGACTTGTGGTGTTTACTGCGGAAGTTTTCTACCGCTACTTTTTTTTCTAAAGAATGACTCTGTAGTCAAATCAGTTGGGTCAAGTGTCAAGTCACTGCTTTATACGCACATAAGAGCTTGCTTCGAAGATTATTTTTGATGCTTTTATCCATCGAATTTTTGTCTTGTTCCATTCTATTTAGATTTTCCACTGTTATCATATGTGCGAAGACCGTTTTTTCGGCTTCTCAGAAATTATTCTCTTGATTCCCGACTGATCCCTGTCACTAATAACGCAATCGGACGCTCCACTCCGTCCGTCAAAAATTCAATGTGGAAACCAAGTAGTTCTTGTTTGAAACTCCATCTAGCACAGTATATGTAGGCTATACGTTCGCAAAGAATAGTTACTGGGTTTACGACTGCTTCAAGGAGTTTTTGGAAAATCTGTCCATTTATTCAATCTTGTGAACTGCACATGATACGCAAGCAGTGTAGAGCTTTTCTTTCGGTCTCTCGCACTCAGCTCTAGGTCTTGTTATGCACCCGAGAATATCTTTCTTTCAAATCAAACATTTTTTCCAGAGCGATACGAGCATGGCAAACGCTAAAGATACTCGTGAAGCATTCTCAGGTTTGATAGAGAAGCCGGTACTCACTGACGAACTTCTTGCTCGCCCACCTTTCAGATTTATTCTGGACATTGTGTCTTCGACAGCAGCAAAAACTGGTTACTTGAGAGTGAGTTGGTAGCAGAAACAATATCCGCATCCACGGAAAACAAATTAATGCTTTGAAGGACCGATTTCCCGTGGAAGCCTTGAATCCTGCGAAATTCAAAGACAAGACTGACAAAACCGCGTTCCTCGATACACTTATTGAAGCCGTCAATGATGGGTCATTGCCTGCAATTAAATCGGCAAAAATTGTTGCCGGTAAGGAGCCCGAACTTACAAACATGGTAATTTTCAATGTTTATTAGCAGTTGTGAAGTGATTACAACGTTATCCGCTCTCCAATGTTTGCCTGGCGTAAATTCACTCGTGGGTTCGGGTCTGTTGTAACGACAAGAAGATACTACATCTTTTCTTGCCCCAGTTCTTGGCTTGAGATCATGGTCAATAGAACACTAGGAAATGGTTAGGGAAGGAGGTCGTTATGGTGGAGTAATTTCTGGCCATTTTCAGCATGGTTCTATGGGAAATAGTAGGTACCAAGAGGGTGTCATATACAGTAGCGCTCAAAAGTATTCGGCCAAATGCTTCTTCACTCGTACTTTTCAGTTATAACCTCTTTCCTACAGGATCTAATCAAGCTGAATTTCAATAAGTGTAGCACTGGCGTAGTGTGTATATTTACCACTAGTAATCTGCATTTTGATCATGTTCGAAATAACCCAAAGATCTTAAAATCAAAACCAGCTGAAAATGGGGACACTGGCGCTTCTAGGATTTCTTTCCTTTTTGCCATGTCCCAAGTGTACGAGCGCTAATGTCGAACTTAGAAGAGGACAAATACGCGAATAAGGTGCGAATAATTGCAGAAGTCACAAACTTGCTTTTAGCATAGTCTGCAAACGCCTTCCCTTAGTCATGTGGACATTGCTACTTTGCAGTCAAATAGAGTTGGATAGTGTAAAACATGCTTCAGTCAAACATATCAAAATTTCATGCGATTTGCTCCACTGGGAAAAAAGTTACGGCAAGTCAAAGTTGGCCGAATACTTTTGAGCGCTACTGTATGTAGTAAGCTTCAAACTGCTGAGTCACCGTTGAATTATTCCGAAAGATTCCAGGAGCATTCGAAGATTTTGGGGTCAGAATCTAAAGTCCTAGAGACGAAATATGAGGTACGATCGTATTGAGTGAGGAGAGAAGATGTAGACTCTTCTAGTTTGAAGCCGATCCAGGGCTTACCTAGAGAAATTAACCGTATCTCAACCTCGCGATCATTGTAAGGCGTGAGGATTGTAAATTATTCTGAACAAATTTCATTTCGATTTGTTTCTTTCAGCTCTTGATCAAGTTGGCAGAACAAGCGCGAGAATTTCAAGAGCAAAACAGTCAACCGAAGAAGAAACGCCGCCCTTCATCACTTGAAGAACCAAAGGAAAAATCGGGAAAGTCCAAGCATCGATCGGAAAGCAGAGGAAAAGAGGAGAAGAGCAAAAAAGAGTCCAAGGAGGATAAGAACAAAGAAGAGTCCAAGGAGAATAAGAACAAGGAAGAGTCCAAGGAGGAGAAATCGAAGAAGCGAACAAAGACAAAGGTAAATTGATATTTGTCAATGCAATTGTAACGTAAGTTACTCACTTAGCCTTGCAATGTAGCCGATGAAGGCTGACTTCCCCTCTTTTCTATTTTTTACAAAAAAAAACTCATTTCGAACCCATACCTAAAGTGCTTCACTTGACTGTGCAGCATTATTTTGATGCATCTCAATGACTCAGTGAGAATGCCAGGATTCCATGGGAATGAATAGCATAGAGCGTCGATCCTCTAGTATGGATTTTCTTTAGGAGTAAAATTTGAAGCTCGAGAGAAATTGTAATAATCTTTTCATACTATTGAATCTATGTATACTAATGGGATTTCTCGTGTTTCGATGAGTATGAGGGTAGGGTGCCGTGCCATGGGTTGGGACTGGGAAGCTCTAGTGGAAAAGAAAACCAAGGTAGAGCATGAGACTCCCATGAACAATTAATCCAAAACCTAATCCAAATCGCTGCCATTAATTTATGTTTCCGTGAACATAAGGTACCATTGCAGGATTCCAAGGAAAAGACAAAAGAAAAGAAGAAAAAAGAAGTGGCAACGGATGGCACAGAAAGCGATCATCACCGTAGCAGAACGAAAGACAAGGACGAAGACAAAAAGACTTCTAGCAAAAAGTCAAAAAAGCATGAAAAAGAAAAGATGAAGGAGAATATTGAAAATCGAGACATTAACAGCAACGTGGTCGAGGACGGCCAACAACTACAGCAGCATGTCGATGAACCCATTACATCTCTTACTAATGAGAGTCCTAAATGCAAGTTTTCATGGTTACTTTTCTTTGGAAACGCTATCGCTTTCTTTTTACAGAGCGCATTGAACGTTTTCATACTTAGCGTCGGCCAACAGGAAAAGCAAGAGACATCGATCAATATCTAGCAGGCCGATGACTCATGTTAGGGTATAGGGGTAACGGAACTGCTCCCTGATTGCGGCATTCTCCCTTGCGACATGCGGCAAAGTCACTGCAACTACCGTACTGCCCGCGCCTCCCCGCCAATCGATAGGACGCGGAATTTTTCGTTAATTGCCCTTCTTTCTTATCGGATTTGATCGTTTTTTTCTATTTCTTTTTCATTTTAAGTTTATTAGACTTGATTAATCAGAATGACTCGTCCTATTTGAGCGACGATCAAGACTGCATTGAAATTGAAGAGAGCGGTCAGCCAATTTAAATAATTAAAGGACTCCCTACCTCACAAATTGCGCGCTCCAATCTGCCATGCAATCCTGCGATACGCGGCNGGTGCGGCGTGCGCGACGCCGTCTTCAGGGAGAAGTTCCCGGACCCGTGAGAAAAAAAGTGCTGAGCGCGAACTACAAAGCGGACAGTGTAGAAGCTGTAATCATTCGGTATACGAAAAAGACTCACTAGAACCGGCAAAATGCAGCGCTTCGAATACGCACAGTTCCAGCATTGACCATTGATCTGTGGCATTTTGACTGACGGGAGTGCAACCGCTTGTCGTCCGCGGCCAGCGCGAAGTATGGGGATGTGAGTTCAACGCCCAGAAGAGAACTCTGGGGAATCAGTTTCTCTCTTTAAATCCAGTCTACATTCAGAATCTATAGACAAAATACGAACACAAACGCCACCAGATTCTCAACAATAGTAATCTGTAGTGCTTGCGTTCTAACGGTAGCTTGGTCAATATTCGCGCACACTAGCGTTAGAACGCCAAGGTTTGCATCAGACCGCACCGGCTGCTTTCATAGTCCGCCGGTCTTCCCGCGAGCGCGCCTTCTGGGGGCGAGCGCGCCAGCTGGGGGCGGCGCTTGCCCCTTATTCACAACTGAATCTTGCTACAAATCGTCGCCGAGTAGTCTCAAACAAGAGGCAAGAGACAGAAAATATACCATGAGTCATCACTCTGCGAGGTATCGATCGACGTACAGACGCTACTTTCGGCGATGCCAACTCTAGCCTTGGGACGCAAATATAAATACGCGCTCTAATGCTCAACTTATTATTAGAATGCAGGTGCTTTCTATGCTATCAGTGGCATCTTAGAATAAGATTACTCAACGTTGGAATCTGCAATAATTTATCTTACATTCATTATTCAGATTCTGCTGAAGCTCAGTCGTCGGAAAGAACGGATGACAGCGGAATTAGCGACATGATCGAAAGTCCCCAACAGCCGTTGGTAGAAAGGTAACGTTTAGAAGCCGCAGAACAAATTAAACTTCTTTGAGTAAAACCCCATCAGAACCTGGATCGACTATCTGTTTCTCTGTCCTTCACGAATCTCTCCATGGCTAATTTAAAGCGCACCGATTGAGACTTCCTACTCGAACACATCTAAACACTTTTCTTTGCTTGCTCCAAAAACTCGGTGTTTCTCTGAGCGGTCCCACGGACAACAAGAACAGAAGGCGGTACTTCATCCTGGACTCCCATTTCAAGCGGCAGTGATTTCTAGCCAGCCTCTGTGATCTTCCACTAGAGGTTCGATTCGTTCCACTGTAAATGCGCAGTCGTAGCTGAGAAGCAACAGCTGAAATGGGAGTGTGGTAGTGCTCTCTTTGCGCACGCACAAAGGGCGGGTTTGTTGCTCAACATTGAAAGCTCTTAGAATCTCTTCGACATTTCTGCAAGTGAGCGCCTTACTTACTTTCATTAACGCTTGTCACACCAATCCAGGACAGAATGGCTTTCAAAGTCTTTTGTACGATTCTGACTGTTTCGAACATTGATGCATATTCAACAGAAATCGCTCTAAAAAATGGGCGTGTGATAACCGACATTAATGAAACCCTAAAATATGGGCGAAAAAAATATGCTGTTGATAATGCACATCTTGTACATGCTGTTTCTCTGCAACCGTCGCAAAAGTAAATAATGACAGGAATGACACATGAGTCTTGCCTTGATGAACATACCCTATTTTACACCACGAGCATTTCAAAAAACGGGGGCACAGAACAATCCATTATACTCGTGGTAAAATCGTAATAATATTGCCCCTATCTGTCACGTTCCGCAGCCGTTTATCACAGCGCAGCTTTTGGGAATCTTCATAACGTTCTTCATAGGACTGAAGGATAGCGCGTCGAAGGGTCGATCAATGATCGTAGCATAAGCAAGAATTTTCCGAATTTCGGTGAGAATTATATGTATCAATTGTTGAAGAGAGTTCATCTTGTCTTCTCACAGATCACGGCTCACAATGGTATGCTTTTTCTGGTTATCCTTGCTCTCAAATAGGCAAGCTCTAATCCAGTCGACCATAAGCTCCTCGGTCGTTATGTGCGTTGAGCCACTCTCACTATTTGATTTGAAGTTAGAAGGTGGCCATTGCGCTGATATACTTATTTTTTTCTTGGAGGACTACATACAGCTTTTCTTTAACCTGCCGTCAGCATGGAGCAGTTCGTGGACGGTAAGGGAACATGTGAGCGTATCGTACTTTCAACTATTCCTCCTGATAAGGAAAGTTTTTGGTTATACGTATTAATCAGATTTCGGTAGTCATCAACACGATACGCCACTTGTCCCGTTCAGTGCCCCAAGAGTGGAGGCGAAGGGAGCTCCTGAACCACGGGGCAATGTCAGCACTGTAAGGGCCCACACACGCTGACCCTCTGTGAGGGGGGGGGAGTGCCGCACATGAGTGCTGTGGGAGCATGGGAGTGCGAGTGCTGAATTCCGCCACGGGCTGGAAACAAAGGCCTGCCTTCTTGTGACTGTTCCCTAATTACTACAAAACAGATGGTTGTAAACCGGATGACAGAAATGTACTTGCGATGTTACACTTACAAGATAAACACAAATCATCTTCACAAATCCATGTAGAGGACCAGTACAACACGACATACGAAAGTAAGTACGACATGATCACGACAAGGAGAAGGATGAGGTGTGCAGAGAGACAAAAGGGAAGGGATGGAAATGGTCGGTAAAACAGGGGTTAGGCTGACGTGTAAGATGGAGATGGCATCCGATCCACTGTGTTTCACCTGTAGCGACGACAGCGTGGGTTCATCCTGGGCGACTGAACTCCGCGATGTAGCGAATGAATGACGGTTCGATCGATGTGGAGCTGGCTCGATCACTTTCCCGCACTACCAGCGCCTTCCTCTATTTGAATCTCATAAAGGACGGGGATTAGAGCGCGGTTCCCTACCGGTGCGCTGCAAGGCCTCGAAAGGTCGCACGTGGGTCGCGACACCAGTCTTTTTACCAATGGTGCGAATGATATTTCCACTCCGTCTTTGATAAGCTCAGACTGAGTGAAAATGTAACTGTGAGAGGGGGAGGGGGATTTGCCATCCATCACAAGATTAGTATATGAAGAAAAGAGCTCAGTTTTACGTGCTGATCCTTGTTATATTAGCACTGTATCAGAGCCGAAGAGTAGTAGCTGCCATGAAGAGTGGCAATTCGACTGTCGAATCCCTCAACATTGTTTTGCTGAGATAGCTGAAGTGTCGGTTATCGTCATGCAGCGGGATAGCGTAAAACTACAGTTTTACCAGAGCATAGACATTCTGAAACCGTCAGTTTCCTGATATACCAGCCTACAGTCAGTTTCTTTCTTGATTCCTTGTGGAGCAGCTTCCCCTATCTCAACATAAAAGGACGACGAAAGTTTGAACATCTTTTGTTGCCCTTCGCAGCATACACAGGTGATTGATATTTTTTATAGAGTGAACGTTGTGTCTACTTTCGATCAAGAGCGATGTCCTTTTGACAACCTTCTAAGGTGCTTAATAGTGTCTGCAATCTGTTTATTGAGCAGAATGAGCATTATGTCTATGGCAATGATCATAAACACACAACATACCTGATCGCGAATTCTATCGTATCGAAAAATCGACTTCGTTATCCTCTGCAGAGCTATCTTCCTCCACGCATACTTGCAAAACTAATCTATACACAATGACATGTCTTAATTAATTCGTCGTGTTAAATTTTCGACTTGACCTGTTATATCCCGTTCAGTCTTGGAACGTTTCACTGTTTCGTCTACCGTTGTAGAGGAGAACCATACTGAACCATGTCTCCTGTTGAATGTCTCAATCCTTGAATGAAGCCATAGACAACTTAATTGCAGAACCATTCCGCCTCAAAAGGCGCGACACACTTGAAGAAAGGCCCAAAAAGGCGTTTACTTCAACAAATGCCAGGAAAGGCAAAAATAGTCCCTATAATCGAGAACAGCATTCCAATCTTTATCGATATACATGGGTCTCCACAAAGTTCCCCGGTTACTCACTACACCTCCCAGGCAAATAGTTTGAACAAATTCTGCAGCCAATTTCAAGCTATACATAGAACACTGATGAAAGCAGTAAGTGGTATATTAGGGCAGAGCAAGATGATCTAAGTGAAAAAATAAGCATCACCAATATCTGCAACTAGTGACATCAACTCGGGGTCAGAATAAATTCCGAGGTGCTGACACGAAAATAAAAAATCGAAGTTTTTTTTTGTTTATTTACACGTGCCTGCAATTGAATCCTCGGCGCTTTTCCCAATCACCTTTGATTTTTTACCATATGCTTTCTAGCCTCATTACATTCACTAGCAGGAAAATTGGTTGTTCAGGTTACCAGGTGCAAGACCACAGACGTCTATGGGAAGGCCAGGTACAGCAGCTGCAAGACCTGCGCCTCCGAAGTTGAAAAGGAAACAAATTGCTGTGACAGAAGAGGTAAACAGTACGAATAAACTTCACGCCATTGCAATACTTCAAAATTCTTATTCTGGAAATCGAGATTGTTCTGACTGCTACTATTCTGTAGAAATCGATCGACTCATGATGAGATTAGCTATAGATAAGCTCTTTGTAAAGGTCGTAGCATAATGAGGGGGTGTGATGTCAAAAGCATGAAAGGCTATGAAAATGCAGTTGGAGGGAACCAATCACTGTGCTCTGCGTCTCTAACGCAAACGGCTGGTGTACGGAGAAGAATGGGACAGCGCCTAATGGACCGTCGTGGTGGTTAGGTTTTGCATAACAATAGAGTTGCCCCTCCACCGAGGAAAGCAGGGCAAACTGTCTCAAAGTTGCTTATTCTTCCTGCCTTATTTCGAGAGGGAACGAGTACGCAAACTTGTACAGAGAAGAAGATTCAGTACGGCGCTCGGCTCTTACAGTAATCCGGCACGACATAACTCCATCTTAATACGCAAATTCTCACCCCTTAGATGAACGAGGTATCGAAAAGGGGCCTTGGGCAAAGACACGGCGGTGGGTGGTGGGGAAGCTAATGGGTTACTGTAAGAACCGAGTGCCCGTACCGAATTTTCGTTTCTGTCGAACCTGTGAGCTTATTCTTAGCTTTATTCAAGTGCGACTAGGATGTGATTCCGTGAAGCCGAGTCGTCCGCGCTGTGAACTTGTGTTCAATGTGCCAGGTGCGACGCTCGCCGTAGTTGCCGCGTGTCGCGTTAATTATGGGATGAATGGAGCGCGCAATGTATACGTAAGAACCGAAAAATTCCGGCTGGACATTGAGGGATTACTGTTTGCAAGACGCCGCTGATTAAGTAACCACTTAATTTATTTACATTGTTTTATTGTGGTTTATTTCTATAGTTGTTGTTTCCTTTGCCCAAATCTTCCCCATAATCAAGAGAAATTCAGGTCGCACCACCACAGAATGTAGTGCTGATCCCGGAAACTACTGACCAAGAAAAACCTACACCAGAAGAAAATTTTCTCGTGGAAGAGGAAGAAGAAGTCGTTCAACCACAATTTCGTCCCACGGAGATCCCTGAGGTTGGTGGTCCTTTTGAATGAAAACTGAACTCTTACGATTGCCAGAAAACATTGTTGGTCTGAAGCGTGGGGAAGTCGACGCTAAGTATAATCACCGCTTACTACTCTGTACATAAGACAGCGTTCAATAGGGATTATTATTACTAGTAGTAGTGATAAATCATGTTGCTGAGGTTACTTTTTCAAGGGCCTGTTTGAGCGTAAGCGGCAAGTCGAAAACAGTATTGGGGTATGGGATTTGTGGGTGTCCGTATTGCCCCACTGGGTTGATTGGGTCACGGTTGAATGCATGGCGTGCTTCCAGAAGATTAATCACCTTCTGTTTCTTCTACTTTATTCCTACTGAACTAGCCGATTAGTGAATGATTAGTTCATGATAGCAAGGTATTCAAAAAGTTCTTTTGGGCGAAATTCGATACCGTAAGATACCGTGCACAGAATTGCGCACAGTGTGCGAACAGTAATTCCTGACCTCTTGCCACCTTTTTTTTTCGTCTCTTAATGAAATCAGTTTGTGGCTGTTCAGCGGAGACTTGATACATGACCCGTGCCTAAAAGTATTCGCCCAAGTGCAAGTGTCTTTTTTTTAGTCCACCGACCAAAGAGGAGGTTTAGTACAGAAAATGATAGACACCACAACAACGCTCAAAGAAACGAATCTCAATGACACGGGTGATGTGGACGAAGGGATGCTTGCCAAGGAGAAATTGAAGGTAAGAAGCCATCAAGTTGCTTTGGACACTCCAATAAATGAACACTTTATCTTACAGACCGAGGCATTCTCAAATTCGTTGCAAACTGTTACAAGGACCGTCTATCCGCTGTCGCGCATCTTCGACTTTGCTCAGGTGGGGGTCAAGGAATAAACCTCACATGTCTCACAAGGGCAACAAACAAAATTCTATCTGGTTCAGGAGGATTTGGAGCTAATTTTAAAGGAGTTGGACAAGTGGCTGAACGAATCGAAAAAGTGCGAGAGCTTACTCAAAGAGAGAGATGCTCAAGGCATAGGTGACAGTCATAAGTGCGTTTCTATGATTACATTTTTTCGTTTCAGCCCATAAAGAAGCTTTTGGGTGTAGGACTAGTGGTCCCGTCTCAGTCACCGAAGCGACAGTAGCTCACCGCACGCGACGCAGTCTTGGCAGATTCAAATGATGGGTTTCAGACCGTTTTGTTGCGATCGCGGTAGCCCACATACATAGAAGCAGAGATTACCTGATATCCAGAAGTAGAAATAGAAACTCATGGTATGGGCAGGCTCCGGGTCCGTACCCACTACTTATTGCTTTTTGCCTTTTGGAGTTATTTGGCTGCGATCAACCAACCAAAAAGCATAAATAGAAGGGCGCAATGGGCTAAAGTGTGATAACCAGTAAACCTGCTTATGGTTAGTTAAAATCAAGCCTAACTCAATTTTTCCCAGAAATCAGAGCATTTAGCAAGAGCTCATGAAAAGAAACCTTCAAATTAGAGACCTTCAGGGAATAACCTCATGAACTTATCATTCAGATATGTTTTTATTTATTGATACAACTTCGAGGGTTTCCTGCTTGTTGACTCATTTTCTGGGTAGCTATCTGTTCGGCGAAGTGTCAAACGTGGGAATTCCATCCCTCCAGAGTCAATTAACCGGTACCATATTGTATGGGAGGAAAACACCGCGACTCGTGCGTTTGTTGGACACCGCAATTCATTGCATGTATAGTACGCCCCGTGGATTGGAATGTGGGAAGCACCTCAGAAAGGGATTGATTAACACCAAAAAACTCTACCTCTGAGGCCTTTATTATGTTATCGCAACTTATCACATTACTACATCAACCATCTCATCCCCGGGGAAATATAATAGATGAGGTGCAATTTTTTGTATTGTCGACCCATTTTTTCGTGGCGGAACGTTATCAAATATGCGAGCGGCTTCCCAGTGTACGCATTTCTCCAACAACCTTTATCGTTAATATTACCTCCCTTAGACTTTCCTATCTCTGACATCCATTTTTTAGCTCTGAACGTGTTCATTTTATTAATAGCCCAACCTAGACAAATGTACCGGGCGCTTTTTTTTCGTTGGATAAGAATGAACAAGAGGAACCGGTTCGTTTTTGGCGAACAACCTGCCGAGTTTTTTTGCCTTTGTTTGGTCTCATTAGGCCCTAAGCAACTGAGAGGTTTCCCTACTCTCACTCCTTCATACTCCAAGGATGCTGTCATAGCGGTATAGAAGTATCATAGGATACAACGTGATATTTTTACTCGTCAAGGAATTCACGGTCGAACGAAGGAATCGGTCAGCCCAGGCAACTCCTTGACCCAAGTTTTCTGCATCCGGCATCCTGCACCCTTCAGAGACAGGGGACGACCTAGGATTGAAGGCTGACTGACGGCATGTACACCACCTTTGCCTTTGCCAAATTTGTGTTCTTTCAACAACGGGCATCCAGCAAACAGGGCGAATACCAGTCGATTTTGACAGTGAGACAAAAATTGGTTATCGGCCAAATTCGGCTAAGACATTGGATCCTGATGTCTCATTTACTGTCAGCACACCAAACATCCCAGGGAGCCTTAGTCTCAGTTCTCTAGGTATGGTGTGAAAGAGAACCACTCAGGTATGAAGGGTGATAAAGGAAGCTAGTTCCACTGATAGCGAGACCGTTCAAGCGAGTTGAGGGAGCGCTGTGGAAAGGAATGCTTCGTCCGTCGTCCAGACCATTCTTATGAGTACGAAGTTCCTCAAGGTGTGCCTCAGAAATCTGGACCCGGAAACCATGAGAATTTGTGAACGCCATTTAACCCTACGAACAAGGAACGACCTTAGAGTTTTCACGACAGGCCCAAAACCCGAAGAAATTCAAAGTTCACAGCTTCACCCTGGTGGATACCGAAACCAGACGACCATCGTTCCGATGATATTAACTTCTTATGAAAATTATGAATCGAGGGAGTAAGTTGTTTTGAACCTCAGAAGCAGCGAAGCCTGTGGTACCAGACTGGCTAGTCTCATAAATTACTGGAGTCATTACTGGAAATGGTGACCTTTGGGTCCTTAGGGATGCAAGTTGTACATGCTGAATAACTTACCCCTCGTAATCACTATAGAGTTGAAAACCTGTCAAGAAAGGGTGAGGAGTAGTTGGAGTAAGTCGTTCAATCCCTGGATAACAACGGCAACTCTACCCCTCAGACTTTCATGTCAAGCCTTTTTTGCATGTGGACATAGCATGTGTCCCTCATGTATGTAATTGCTCTGGGAATGTTCCTCTGGGAACAATTGCATGAGAAATACGATTCACGTTTTATGTCAAAAACGTTCCTTTTTGCTTCTAAGGTACCGTATCCCCTTTTACTTAGAACCTGTTTTGACTAGAAGTCCACTCTTACTTCTTGTTTTGGAGTTCTTCAATTGTAACCCAGGAGAAGGTTCTGAACATGCTGCGGAATGAAGCACTCTGTGTTTTTCTAGGATGTTCAGAATCTTATCCTGGTAGTCAAGGGGAACGGAAATGGTTATGAACCATCATCCACACGTTGAATTTGTATTGAGTTCTCCCGACAATGCCATATTGGCCATGAATGAACTTCATTAGTTTGTTGCTATTACGTGGTCTTCTTAGAAGTTCCCAGAAGATGAAAAGAAAGTACTCGTGTAGAAGGGAAAGTAAGTCAGTCTCACAAGGAAATGCTGCTTAGATTGGAATATGCCTCCTATGCCATCCATCAGCCGGGATCGCTGAAATGGTAGCAGCTTCGTAAGCATGTAAGCTTCGGGCTTATCAGATGATCCCCGCAAGTTATTTTTAGGGAGACGATAATACCCGGATTCTCAATAAAGTCAGCTGCACTACGTATCCAATCCTGGGATTAATCAACAGCAAAATTTCATATTTCTTACTCTCCCCGAGGGTAATTGCTGAACATATGTAGGGTCCTGCATTACCAATCAAGAAACGTATATAATCGTTTAAACTTTTCCTACCAGTCATTCAAATGGTCTGGCTCCCTTATCGTCTCGTGATCTCGGCCGAGATTCTTGGTTCCCAACTGTTCTAGCTAATTATTGTTCTCAACCAATCAACGGGGGAGAGCACTTGCTAAGGAACGGTTATTCTAATTGTCAGTGCGGTGGTTTGATCTGATTCCTGTTTTTCCTGAATGATTCACTTTACACAGTGCATCACGATCCAAATTTTTCCAGACCTTTCGCGCAGTTTAATAGAGATCCGAGTCAACCGCTTCATTCAATGCCCCACGGCTTAATGTTTGAGACCGCCATTGATGTTTATCTTTCGTAGATTTCATCTTCGAATTTTTCCCATCCCGAAACAGTGTAAATAATATTGAATTGTTTAATTACTATCAAATTGAATCATCAAATTTTTTGTGCTATTAAATTAAGCAAGGTCCCCTCCTCAAGGACGTTACACAAGCCCTGACGGCATTTGAAATCAAGCCCTTGTTTCCAGTTGATGAACACGCACAAGACCCTTCCAAGCGAAAAAAAAAATCTGGCAAAAAAAACGAAGTCGCTCTGAACGAAAGGGTTTTCATCAGATACCCTTGAAGGTCATGTTTGGGACGCCTGCCAACATATGAATCATCCTATGGTACCACCCAACGGTTCAACCTAGCCGAATGTTGAAAAGCCTAGGCACTGGACATCTTTATATTTCCCTCACATTTGGAATCCCATGTACGCCTCTCTCCACAAGTCCCGCTGCGGCATTATTGATAGAAGTTTTACCCACTGGGGAGGAAGTTGTCACACATGTTGAATGGGAATTTGAGAAAGCCATTTTCTCTGCAGAGGACAGGCTGATAAATGGGAATTTTGGCTTTGTGGGTGAATATTCCTAGACGGCTTTACTCGTAACTATCTATTTTTAGGTTGTCTACAGTTTTACAATCGCTCGACGCAGACGTAAACAATATGCGATCAATGGTGAACGCCTCTAAGGCTAGGATTACTTCGAACAATCGCCGGATACAAGAACTATTAAATGACGTATAATTGTATAGTAATTTATTTTTCCTGTAAATATTTATGTTCTCAAAAATTTATATTTAAGGTGAGTAAATAAAATCTTGAACTACATTGGTTAGAGAAATTACCTTCCAGCTATAAAAGAGTAAAAAACTGCGAAGTAAAGGTTTTCCACCTGCCTGTTCGACTCTCTCTTGGAAGGAAAGGAGGAGCTGGTGCAGTAGCGCAGAGCGGACTTCCACTCGCATAATGAAGGGCTCGAATCCTCGCCCGGTACCCACGCTCTCTCACCAACCAAGATTTTTCATTAAAGGAAATTATTTCTGTTGGAGGGCTTGCAAGAGGACAAACAGACTGACAGCCTGACAACCATATCGAGCATGTGCTTTATACCAAATCGAGAGATCAATCGCCTCTTATAGTCAAGGATAACACTGGTTTCAACTATGAAACTGAAAATGTTGATCAAGTGGGATCTGCAAGAGCACTTTTTTCGTTTAGTCTCACAAGGACAGCGATTTGTGGGCAAAACTTTGGCCCTAGACGGGGGCTTGAATCCCTAGTTGTGCTTACCGGGCACCGTGCTCTTTTATCCCCCACACTACCAAGGCCCCGCTTGCGCTCACCCTCTTAATGGCTATTTATTATTTATCTGTTGTTTACTCTTCTTTTGTTTACATAGCAATCTGGTCTTCAAGATTGCTATAAGCCGATTGCAGGGCAACTAACTCCTACACGGGTTTGAGGAAACTAATCAGGAAAGGAAATGCAACGAGGGGATAAGGTGTTGACAACATCATAATCTTCTATAAACAACGATGTTAATCTTTCACCGTTACCCCACTAAGTGTACTTAGGAGAGTTAGAAGTATGGCGGGGCTACGCTGGGGATCAAGACCCAAACCGGTCAATCCATCCCTGCATCCCTCATTAGATCATTTAATGGTTACCAGAGGGGTCTGAAGAGAAAAGCGCGTTGACTCGTACATAGCCCGACTACCCGAAAACTATTGAAAAAACTGAAGAATCCACTTTTTCCGAGGGGAGGGAGTGGGGGGTGGAAGGATGGGTTCAGCCTAATATTACCAGCCGCATTATCTGCCCCATGGAGCAAAAGCTTGGGTATCGGTCTGAGAATGTACATTCTTCATGTGAATGAAAACAAGTGGAGTAGAAAGTTTATTGATGATCGATCGTGCAAAAGCTTTTGCAATACATTTCTTCTCCATCGTTTAGGCCTTCGAGAAACGGCGTCTGTAGCCCTGAGATTGAGGTCCAGTCTCGACATCAGCGGTACGAGGTGGGCATGGGCAGTATGCGGCATCACTTCCAGGTAGTCCTGGTCCTCCTGGCTGTCCAGGAGTTCCGGGTGCTCCAGCCTGTCCATCATTTCCAGCTGGACCAGCGGGTCCTTGAGGACCAGCCTGTCCTGGTGCTCCTGGTTGTCCATCGGCTCCGGGATTTCCTGCTGGTCCAGCTGGTCCAGCCGGTCCTTTTGGTCCAGGTGCTCCATGACCGCGTTTACCGTTCTGTCCAGGAGCTCCAGGAGTTCCAGGCGCTCCAGGTTGTCCTGCTGCACCAGCATCTCCCATTGGTCCTGGTGCTCCTGGCGCACCGTTATTTCCGGGTGCTCCTGGTGCTCCAGGTTGACCGTCAGGTCCAGGTTGTCCTTGAGGTCCGTCAGGTCCAGCTGGTCCAGGTTCTCCAGCTGGGCATTTGATGCATCCAGTTGGTTCCTTGGGGTTCATCATTGCAATTCCTGGGGTACCTGGTCTTCCTGGCTCACCGTCCGCTCCGTCTTCACCTGCAAGTCCATCCTTTCCTGGAGGACCTGGTGGTCCAGGAGGGCAGTTGTTGGGTTGTGCGGCGCAACCGCATTGTCCAGCAGCACGCTTGTCACGACCGAAGATCGTTCCAACCTCGGAATTTCCAGATGAAGGAGCCGGGATCACCATTTCCTTCCAGGCTTGGTTGGCAATCATCTGAAATGAGGTCATAATCGTTTTTCTTATGTTTTGCAGTCAAAGGGCAGGAACTTACTTTGAATTCGTGCATATCCTCCATGACATCATCGTAGAGGTTGTTGATGTCTTGGAAAATGACACCAACACAGATCAAACTGGCGAAAATCGCAATAGCTGAAGCGCCAGTAGCGATGGTGACGAAGAACTTGGCACTCATTTCTGAAAGCTGTTTTCTGAAGTGTTCGGTTAGGTATTTATACGAAGCTTGGGCGTGATCTTAGGGGCGGTATGTAGCCAAACACATAGATACGATAGCGTTTTCAAGGTCGGACGCACTTTACAAAGTTCTCCGAATTTACAGGCTTTCAAGGTTACGGTCGCCGCAAATCAAAAGAGAGTGAGAGAAAGAGAAAAGCGACAAATGGCGCATCAGATAACGGGGTGCAGATGGCAGACCAAAAGGCTTACACTAGAAATATCAAACAGCAATAGCCCTACGGGTTTCGAGACAGGCACTCGATTCGAAGGTCGGATAAAGAAAAATGTACCGCCAGCAGATAGTCCCAAATCGCAATGTTTTCAGCCATTCATCTATGGTAAAAGGCTGCCACAGAGCTTAATGTGTTCCCGTTAAAAGACAATTAGGGGGGAGTGACTTTAGCATTTTACCCGTCATTGGCCTTCTCCTCACCTCATACTTGAACGAAAAAACCTATTTTCTTGAGCCAGAATGATTTTTCGCACTATTTCAGAAAAATTTAATTTACCTCACCCTGCACTCTGGGCGCTACGGTCCAATTTTATAGAGCGTTGATGGTGCTAAGCAGGGTGGAGTAATCCCCTTCAACAGCATTTCCACCGAAAATGAATAATAATAGTAGTCCGCAATATTCACCAATAACCATTTGGAGGAAATTGAGCCCTAGGAATTCTTTATTTTTACGTTTCTGTCTGCCCTTTCTGAGTGAGGTGGTATCCTGCTGACCGATCCTTCTTCTATTCCGACTTTTCGCACAGAACCAGCGTTTCCCTCAGCGCTCCCCCTCTCTCAAGATTTGGACAGACACTTAGAACCCCTTACTAAAAAACAGAATCGTTTCTGAGTATGGCTACAGGCCAACGTCGATGCCTTAAAATTCAATGACTTGCATTCATTCTGAGCAATTAGCATTGGAGGCACAAAGCACAGTGAAGTGGCCTCCTCCAACAACGCTTTCATCTTCAGTTGTACTCATTATTAATGATTTGACTTACCGTGAAAAAAAGTCCAGTGATTTTGACCAAACCCATGAAACCTTCCCACGGTGAAAAGGAGCAGAGAAATAAGCGTAGCCTGAGTGCCCTTTTGTGTTTATCCCAGTAGCATTTAAATTGCTTCTAGGCAGGTGGTCCATAATAAATGAAAAATGATACCAAAGTAAAGCAAAAAAATGTGTAGTGGAATCTCGGCCAAAGGGCTGCTTTCTGTCCCTTCAGAACCTGGAACAGCTTATTTCGTTCACTTGCTACGAGACCCAAGGCTACGGCGAAAGCTGACAAGGGCTCTTTCTCATAGCTCATGGCAACTGTCACTGAAATTTTGAAGATAAGATTGGAACTTACCGATTTTTGGCATGTCAACATGAAGGCATATAAGTTACAAGCTATGTGTAGAGTTTTGAAAAAAAAAAGAAGAAAAAGAAAAAAAGAGAACTTGGAATACTATTATAGTTGGTCCGATAGTGAAGCATAGAGCGAAAGAAGCTGAAAAAAATCGTAAAAATCAGAATCTTCTGCCTAAAGCACTCAAGAAAGACGAGGACGAGAAATGAAGATGCGCTTGTATTGGTGTTCGTCTTTGAAGATGACATCAAATCCAGCTTCAGTGATGGGAATCTGGACGACCGTTTTCTGGTGATTGTCCTGAGACGTGCACTTCTTCAACCACGGGATAGTCATCAGTTGAGGAACGTGACCGCTTGTTATAGGACAAGTCTCCGAAGTGAAATCGGCTTTTATGGTCTTATTTCTCATCTATAGAGCGACAAATTGAGTTCCGCCAAAAACACCAAAGGAAAATACGAAAGCTTGACTCTTAACGAATCTCAGCATGAGGTATCTGTCTCAGATACAGTTCTGAAGTCTAAAGGCTAGATCTACACGTGATAGTACAGTAGATGGTAGAGAAGTAAGTCTAAGGCAGTTTCCGGCTGTAATTGGTCTAACTGTCTAGATGGTTAACTGGATCAAATATCTACAGCTGAAATCTGAAAAACTGTTTAATTGGAGAGAATCACAGTCATCTTCGGCTTCTAAGCTTTGATGAAGGCGACGAACCCAAATGGTCAGCTGAAACTCGTACCATCTCGGCCAAGGCTTCATAATTATATCAGAGACAACAAGTGAAGGTTTGAATCAACATACATACAAGAGAGTTTATCCATTCAATTATCGTTAGAACTGCTTCATATCAATGTACTGTATATTCTACGGGGATGCTACATCTTGTATTCAGGTAGGCCAACGGTTCGACCAGGTGGTCTTCATTAGATCCTTACGCATAGAGGGCTCTTTAATTCAGTAGTTTGTATCGATATCTCGGATTGAAAGCAGCTGTGCCATCAAACCACTCTCTGTCTGATACACCTCCATCAGACGCTGCCCACAATAATGTTGCCTTACTATTTTACTTTATGTAAAACCATATGAAATAGCTACAGTACGTTTCCCTAACTCGATTAACTGCGGTTCTGTTTTTCGAGCATATCAGGCAAACAAAAGGGTTTAAAAAAAACTGGATGATGCAGTCCGGAGGAAATCCAGCCGACAGCAATATATTGAAACCTTGGGGCCCCTCTTGGAACTCGAGACTCCGCCTTCACTTCCTAGCTGAGCGCCATCGTTTGAACTACTTTTTATAATTCGCTCTGGGGCATGAATGGGTTTCATAGTACTAACCAAAAAAGGGGATCAGTGGTATACTGGTTCCAACACCGTAAACCAACCAACCAAACTTTTTCGCTCATCCTTTATGCTTTGCCACCATTCATCAGCTCCGCCCACATTGGGCGGCTCAAAACATTTACGTTAAGAATGTCCAACTCTCTGATTTATTGACTAGGCATAGAAACTGGTCTTTTGTTCATAAAAGTTGTAGAAGATAAATAATTTACTACCGCGATTAGGAACAATTTGCCAATAAAAAAAACAAAAAAACAAAAACACAAATCATTAAAAAATGATATGAAGAAAGTGCACTACAAACAGTTATTGGGGGTAACAAGTGAACCTGTTTGGGTACGAATATAACCGACAGGTGACATCACAGAAGAACAAAGCCATCATCACGTTTAATAATTGCGACATTTCTTCGCCATCGCTATCACCTATGATTAAAACCACTATTGGACGTTTTTGACGAAAAAAAAGGGAACTTACTTGTGCATTTAGATCACACAACAATATGCGATTACGTACAAAAACATAATATAAACTACACTGTGGTAATCAAATATGAAAGAATAGATAGTGAGGCTAACAATCAAATTAACTATGGTCATTACCTTATTTGGATCAAGTGCTGATTCGAGTGACAAGGTAAAATAACAACACTGGCCAGCCTTCATTCAAGAATGACTTCAAATTTGCTGCACCGAGATGATAATGGAATGTGAAAGTCATTTTTCCTAGGCATCTGACATTGTAAGTATTGATTATCGCCTCGTAGCTTTTCCATACCAACTGAAGTGAACTAATTCACTCATTCTAAACCCGGAAATCGGTTAACTTCTCCTTGGATTTTTTGAGACATTCCTTTTGAAGTGTAGATTGCTCTCGTGCGCATTCGCAACTGAAATCGATTATTTCAATAGGGAAGAAAAAAGAGCTTTTTGAGGAAGTGAAAACACCATGAATCATCCAGATTGATCGCGAAGCCTGAAGGGCTCAGATGCACTTTTTCGCTTTGTATCTTCCCCCGGGGCGGAGGTGGTGTAGTGGCAAGAGGAACATCATCTAAAACGCATGGTCACGCATTCGAATCCCGGATTGATACCCGCCTTGGCCAACCGACTCTCCATCCCTCCGGGGTACTCCGAATTTCCACTCCTCAGGGTTCCTCCGAGGTCGGTAAATTGGTACAAGACTCTAGGAGGATGAAAGCACTGACTTATACATCGGCTGGCCACAGCAAGTCATTGTACAGACCACATACGCATTCAATACACCACCACGATGCTGAAGGGAGTCGAAAACGGGGGCACATTCTCTAGACGAGACTGATTAACGCCAAAAAGACATTACCCTTCTTATCGTAAATCTAGTAACCCATCACAATCCACCCCAAGGAGCTCGCCCAATTGCAACCGCTCTGCAATGTAAAAGAAATAAAAGTAATGAATAGAAAAAGAAAAGTAGAATAGGGATAGGATAGAATAATTACAAAATTGTGCACTCACACCCGCTCCTGAATGCCTTGAAGGCAGCGTTACCCCAAGTATAGTGGAAATAGTACATATTGGAGGGCGTGGGAAAACAAGTTATGGTCGAAAACAATCGTTCTGAATCCCGAATGTAAGCCAAAGTTTCTGGTGATGCTCGCCTGTGCATACACATGGCAAAATTAAAACAAGAGCTGTGGCATATTACGGGCACGCAAGAAAGCTCACTACCCCCTATATTTAACCGGAACAGATTTTAAAGGCAAATCAATCACTGCGAAAGGGTTTCGTCGATTATGCTTCCCAGAAGAAATGATTGTTTAGATCTGGATCAAAAAGAAATCCATTCCAGTAACTCTGATGAAAGAAAAATCCACTCACAGACGGTCCTTGTGACGATATCCTGGTAATCTTCATATCCTGTACTACTGTAGATCCACCCATAGGTTCAAGTACTGTTGATGATGGCGGTTGAAGCTCGATCGTGAAAGACTAAAAGGATCATGACACATTCCTCCCATCAATAAACATCTGCACTGAAAAGATCAAAGTAATACTGACTTTGGTAACAGCGGCCTGGAAGGCAAAGTCTCGTATGACTTCGGGAGTGTTATTAGTTATTTCTACTCGTAGCTGGCACGTATTGCCGGACCATCCACTACCCAACACCATGATGTGCGCCTCGATGCCAGCGCTGTTCAGCGCAACGACGCGCTCATTTGCCGGAGCTCTGGAATGACTCGAAAATTAACACAAAAGCATGATTAAAAATACATCAGAAAATCCTAAGTGCTTTTCAAATAACATTTTGTTGAAGAAAACGAGTTGCGAATTTCATGCCAAATGAAATCCAAGACTTTACGTGCAAAAAGGAAAACTGAGAATCTGTCGACATTCCTCCACACATTCTGAGCATTGTACCAGAACTCTGTCAATCAAAGAGCTGCAAATAAGCCCAGTTTCATTTTAAAAAGCACGAAAGAGCGGCGATCTTTTGCCACCTTTCTTATTTCTACGGTCCGACATGTTTTGCAGCAAGCGTGATGGTATCGTCCTTGAAGAGTTCAACGATTTATCTAAGCCTTTGTTTAAGAACCAGAAGCACACCTGTTGCTTTTAAGACGTTGGCACAAAGAAAATGAAGAAAAATTAGGGCTATCTGCGCTATTTATCATCAAAAACAATTACGAAGCAGCCCGTGAAGTCAGTGAAAGGAAAGGTAATCGCAGGAAGCATTTGGGGGTCTAATGTGAATGCTATTATGAAGACAGTCGTATAGGTGTGGGCATTCGCCTTTCGGTTGAGTAAAGGCTTGTATATTTCGTTTAAGAATCTTTTTAAATGCTTATTTCTAATCTTCAAAAGAACTCCGTTCAGTAGCAGTGAAGCATACAAAGGCAGGTGCACTATCACAGAGGCATGGTCTCGGGTTCGAATCGGGGATCGATACCCGCCTAGGCCAGCATTCCATTCCTCCGGGAAAGCTTAACTCAAACATGAAGAGATAAAGATAACGATAAGGGCACGGGGATAAGAGTCATCTGGTAGGATAGAAAGCACTGACTTGTGCATCGGCTGGTCACCGCAAGTCATTGTTTAGGCCATGTACGTCTTCAACACGCCTTCAATACCCCACTCAATGTAGGCCACCCACATTCTGCACACTTAGCCATTTTGATTATTACCCGGAATTCAGTAATTTGTGGCTTGCTAACTACATCACTTGATCGAAAGAGAAAAGCAAAAAAAGGGAAAAAGGAAGAAGAATGAAAAGTCCGTGAGGATATCAAACGATACAACTGATTCTTACAAGCATAAACATACATAGAATTACGTGTTGCGGTAGTTGTGGTACCGAATCCGCCCAGTAAATCGAAAGGATCAGCAGTTTCGTTCGTCGCAGTCGAAATTGGATTTGACACAGACACTAAATTAAAGTTATATTTAGCGACACCTAGCAAAAAAAGCTTTTGGGCCCTCTTAATACCTCCTAACAAATCGCCATCGATCACTGAATTCGTAACAGGCACAACAGGCACTGAAGGTACCGCCGAGCCACTCATGAGATCAAATAAGTCGTTGTTGGTACTCTTAAAATGGAATGGTCATGAGATATTGAGCTCCAATGTTTAATTTCGAAGGGAGCCCTATTTTCACTTACTGTTTTAGCCGGGACAACAGTCGGGACAGAAACCGTGTCATTTAGCGAACCAAGCTCAAGAAGATCTACATTCGATGCCGGAACTGAAGCTGCGGTTGGCGAACCTTCCTCAAGCAACGATGAGCCATCCTCAATAGGTGCTGCAGCTGCGTTAAGGGAGTTGTGTGTAATCACTGGCATTCGCTCAAGAAGGCCATACCTGAACTCGAGAAAGTTCTGGAACGTTAAAGCAAGAAAAATGCCACATTGAAGCAAAACGCCTCACTTTATATCACCGCAGTCTAAAAGTCGAGAAAACTCGACTGATCGTTGTTGCAATTCCAGATGTAGATGAGCTTGATTTGCACGAACAAGGGCAGAGATACGATCCACAGTCGAACCGAACCTGAATTATCGTAAACTACTGAAAGGATTTTCAAAGCCTTATCATTGGGTCGGGACGACCAAATGTGCGGCGTACTGGACACAACAAACACGTACATGAGCCGCATTTTTCAATATCTATCTCGTTTTGAAATCAAAAAAAAAAACAAAAAAAGACCACCTCGTAGCCAACTTTGCCAAAGCCGTAACTGCATAGCATTTCGTAGATAAAGAGGTCAAAGTTGATGGGAGCACGTTTTCGAACACATTTATCACGTCAGTTTCTTCAACCTTGAACATTTGATTATTAAATCATAAAATCTTGATGATAAAGAAATAAAATGACTAGTTAGCAAACTAAGGGCTGAGAAATAAAAAGGATAGCGATCCGTAAAAGTTTCTCCCAATCTAGACCTTATTGGCTTACCTTTGCCGAATCTGCGTCCGCTGGCTGAAGGAGCAAGTCACCAAACTCGCCAATAGTCCAAAAAGCCACCTTAAAAATCATCCATGATCAGAAATTTTGACGATCTCTAGTCCTATGGGTTCAGGTAGGATTCGATATGGGTCAAACTACGCCAAAGGAGATACATGTAAAAACGATCTATGTTAGAGCAGCATTCACTCATGAGCGAATCAATAAGTAAACAAATCAATAAACTGATGGCTTGTTTAAAATCGATGGCTTTATATAAAGAACCCTCCGATAGCGAGAAAATACGGATGGGCCTATAAATGAAACAATCTTCATAGCTATTAGCTTCGTTTTATGACTATTTATAAGGTCATAACGTTCGGAAGCGCTTTCAGAACAAGTCATCTGTTTTGAATAGAACCTCTGAAAAGTCATCCGACACGGTAGCTGTAGCCCCCTGCGGATGAGAATAATCATAAAATAATACCTGAAGTAACGGCTGAGCATTCGTTGAATCCAACTGGGCAGCTCGGAACAGTTGCATGGCAGCATAGTGTTGAAGTTCACTATGGGACGATATCAGTTGAATCATACATGAAACCACCTCATCCGGTACATAGTTACCAGCCTATAACGCGAAATCGTCTCGTGATGACTGGCTATGCATCAAATTGTGAACCACAAACCAAACGTAAAACGGTGATCATGGTGTCAAGATGCCATTCGTGGTTAGGTGAGAATCTTTCCGTTGCGACGTACATTTTTGATGCGCATTCAGACTGAAAAAGAAATCTTGCGAAGAGGTTAAAGAGAAAGGCTTGAAAGCATCGAACTTGAACAACTACGGAGAAAAAAATCTGGAGTCTTGGGCAACAAATTGACTTTGTTGAGAACACTAGTTGTTACCCTCTTATTATAAACTTTTCACTTTTCCACAGAAAGTGGCTCTCTAGACCCAAACAATAAGGGCACCCACATAGAATCACAACAAGTTCACTCAAACTTGCACTGCCAGCGGATACTTTCCCACTGGGTTTACAATCCCAGCGCGGGTAGAGGAACTATTGATCTATGACGATACAGTATTGGCTCGTTTATCGCCTCCTCTATTCAAAAATTCTGTCTTGACAAGATCTGAAAAATGATAATCTAGAAGAGCCTCTTCTGATTCCCTCGGACAGTAGAGACTTTTCCAACACTATGCAACCACTCCAGTGGGAAAAGAGATATCTTCTGGTATGTAGTACGAACTAACGTTGTACGAGGAGCACTATAAGAGACGCAAGAGATTTATTGGAAGGTCCTGCCTAATCCGATAGTGCCGAGAGGAAACTCCCGCGAGTTCGAATAAATACAAATAAGTCCAAGAACACTTGTCTAGAATGTGCTTGCAAAAGAAGGCATAATGACATTGCCAACAATAGGAGCCATCGCACGAATGGTGCCCCACTACAACCACAAAATAAAGGTCGGAGAGGAGACGAAGTGGGAATATTAGTGAAAGCGCATTTCGGACACCGATCCAAACCATATAATTATAAAATTATACTCATGATAGAAAAACGGAGGAAGCTCTCGACCAGAAGGAAAAGTCGTTACGCTCCCAATTCTAGTCGCTGCTCACATAGCTATGCAACCGAAATCACAGGTGTGATATTGCAATATCGCCCCTTTCAAATCCATGCTTCATTTAGTTTTAAAATTCATAAAAATTAAGAAAAAGCCCTTGAGTCACACGTGAAAAAAGGCAATGAGTAAATAAATTGGAAACGCAGAATTGAAATAGACAGAATATTATTAGTCAATATTGGATGACAGAATTTATCGCAAATGATGAAAAAACTCACCTTGAACTCAGGATCTGCCGTTTCTAGGAATATAAGTATTTCTTTGGTCATGTTTGCGATGTTTGTCTTGTTCATCAGTGCGAAGCACAATTCCATAGCACGCCTAAACGAGGATGACTTTGTTGACAAATTCCAATAAAAGTTGATGAATAGTTAGCACGACTGGATGGTTGAAAGACGCTTTTTTGTGAATAAATAATTTTGTAGAATATTGAGTTATAACTACATAATTATCAAGATTCGAAACAATTATGACGCTATGACAGTTAAGGTGTAGCAAGTAGCCCTAATTCGACTCAGTGCTCCACCACTCACTTTCTTATCGAAACATCTGGATCCTTGAGGCAATCCACGACCGTGGTACGATGCCTCTGCACAGCTTGGTAATCTATGGCGACCGTTTTGAGCAAAGTATTCAAGGCAACATAACTGAAAACATTCAAAGGTTACTCAAGAAACACTATTTAGAGTCGAACGTTCGCCTACTTCCGACTAACCGAATATTTTTGTCCGGATTAAGCAAAAAACGTCCCAGTATATTGACGGCCAGTACTCGAAGTCCACTGAACAGGAAGATAGTAGGATAAGGAAACATAAAACAAACAAAATAAATTAAAAAACGGCGAATGACAAACAGCAAGAACCTTTCGCTCTTTATTTCCATAATGGTAAGAACAGTTTCGTAAAGAATTGCGTTGCCAACGTTCTTTGCTGTTTCAGTATTAGTAGCAACCTCAAATTACAATACTACATTGATAAAATCATGGCAGGAACTTTGCGAAAAAGCACCTGAGCAAGAATGTCGTTCATTTCTTCGGTGGCTCTAGAGTCGTCCTTTCCCAATACCCTCAGTAATCGAAGTATTTTTACCTTGAAGAAATAGAAAAAGGTCATTTAGACGGGCAGAAGCTGAATCTCATATAGCTACCTGTAGAAATGGATCACTGATCCCAGTGACGTCGTGTTCCGGCGAATATCCACTCATCAAAAGATTTTTGAGAATTCGAACTAGATTTGGCACCAACTGAAATTTCAAACAATTACTAACGATGCGAAAGCAGAAAACAAATAGTGAACCAAGATACACAAAGTTCTTCCACCCTTCCTGGAAGAGAGTGGGTGAAGTAACTTGAATAAATCGGTTGCATAAGAGGTCCCCTAAGGAATATAGTTATAGTATTGATCAACTATCTCAGTCATTGGCAAATATTCATCCATATGAAAAGAGCAACACAAATAGGACTCACTAAGATCGAGTTCCGGGTATGATATTAACCCCCTAAGTACCTCTAGACGCACTCCTTAGTCCCCTTGTCTTCCAAGCCACAACAGCTGGTGAAATGCGATCACTTGGAAATTACACATACTTTTGCCTATGGACCTGTACGAAATACCTCCATAGATAATCCTTTCCAGCACTTCGCCAGGAATCCGTGAACGATAATAGATTGCAAAAAATACGATAAAAATAACAATAAAATAAGTAATAAGTAATGTAATAATAGTACAAGTCAAAAGAAGAGTTTTAAGGTTGTGGATGGAGCCATTTTTTCTTAGGGATAGAGTCGAATCGAAGTTTGTCACTCTTGATTCTATGGCAACATAAACTAGGAAAAAAGAAACAATGAAGGAAGAACTGCCAGAGCCACGAAGAAAAAATACGGCATATTGGTTTTAAAACAATAACTCTAAGTGAACTGTTAAGTTTGTGATTCCAACAGAAAAGGGCTAAAAATAACTCAAAATATTGTGATATGGAAGTAGAGAATATCGGAGGGATAATATATCGCAATAATTATAGTAATATAAACATCGAACTAGAATTAAAAATATAATTTATAATTACATCAAAAGAGTAATACATCATATCGCGATAGCAGAGCATTCAATTCCACGTAAATTCAACAAACTGACTGTATTCTACTCAACCAACCGTTTTTGAAACATACTAGCTTATACATTTCGCGTGCATGGTACGTCCTACGCCTTCACATTAACGCATTCAATAATTCCAGAGCCGAATGGCAATGAAAAGAAAAACTAACCTTTTTGAAATGGTTCAACACATCAGGACTACGTTCACACATTTCTGTAACCAGTGTCGTTGCACCCATAAGAACACCTTCAAAAAAAAGGCAGAATTATTTAACACTTCAAATATTCAACGGCCGGTGTATGCATATAACAAGGCTCACCGTGGTTTTTCTCCCCCAAAAGTGAACGAGTACAGGAAATGAAAACTTCCATGAGTTCAGGAACCTTACGCACAATTCGGAAGGCACAAAGCGCGGCCTACAAACGAAACTTTCAACAAGCAAATATGAAATGCGCGATGAAAAGACACCCAAGACTGAGAATGAACAAAAGATTACCTTCTTTTTGATGTAAGTATTGCTACTTTTTACCAAACGTTCTACTTCATTCGCTAAATCGCGACACATTTCCGAAGAGCATATCGACCCAAGTGTACACAAAGCGAGCCCTGTTACGAACTGCGTGGATGCGTTCAAATCACTGAAAGGTAAGCACAAATAATCAACATCTCTAGCTGATAGCTGGGTACATAAACAACAGATTCTTCAGACTTGTAAACCGGTGAGAATGGCTTACTTCTTAAGTGAATTGGTGACGAGCAAATGTACTTCTGATCGTTCATCAAGCAGTAACATTGCTCCAAGATAACCTATTCGTTTATCAGTAAAACGTGGCTGGGCGACAAGTTTCATGCACTCCATCTGAACGACAGGCATTCAAGTTTTATAGCGAGCACATTAATTTTGTTTTGAGCCTCTATTACTGAAATCTCTCAATCTGGTAAATGCTTGGGAAGCAAGCGTGAGAAAGAGGACGAGGAGACAACTTCTTTTTTAGAGTTGTTTTCGCTTTTCATTTCTCACGCTCGCTTTTGCTCAGCGATTACCATTATCGCAACTTGAAAAACCACTTAATGGAAGCACATGGAAAGGCTAGACACCAGGGAAACAAAAAAGCTTCGCTGGAAGGTATTAAGCTGACATCTAGTCATCACTCACCTGACCAAAGTGTGCGGGATACCCTAGCATATGAATATAGAGCAGCTTCGCTATATTACGGCACTTCCAAGGCGAATCATCTTCACGAAAATTTTCTCTGAAAATGTTAGTTGCAGTTGCATGTTTTATGTGTGGTAATAAGTTAGAATGCCAAAAAGTGGGAAACCCGACGGTTCGAATAGAAAATACTTCAAATACACAACAACAACTATGAATAACGATAAAGCTTTCAAATTCTCATAGTGGGGAGGAAAAACCCAAATCACATTTAAAAAAAAATGAGACAGAACCAACCGTATATTGGCACTTTCCCTGTCCACAACCGCTCTCTCTTCAGCCATAGTTCGCGCTGCACGAACCTGACGAATGAGATCTCGGAGGCGCATGGGTGTGCCCAACGTCCTAAAATACTCTTATGAAGGGGAAACGAAAACAACAATCAATTAGGTGCCCCAATTAGCCCACCAATAAACAAATGTCCAAGGGTGCAAAAACTTTTGAAAAACCTGCACCCTCAAAGGTTTGAAAACAATGTTTTCCTTTCCCCTCCAAACCGGATACGCTACTCCTTGAAATACAACGTGAACTTACAGAGAGACGAGGTCGATTGCTCAGTATAGTTTTGTTGACTTCTTAACAAATGAAAAGTTTCAAAAATTATACAACTGTTGACTCGGTTTCCATATAATGCAGAAATAATCAATGCCACACCAAAGCATATATGCGAACCCGCGTACTGCGTTTTTCGACTGACCAAAATCTGGGATGGTACGCGCAGAATAGCGAAGAGAAGCCGATCGTAAAGCCGAGATTATAATAGTTCTTGCCAACCACATTCAACTAATGCTGCCGTGGACCATTTATGTGAGTGGAGCAAGTGAAATTGAATAGAAGTTCGTATTTAATCGTAAATCAGTACCAGATGGCCTCGTGTGGAGAAAAAAATTCGAATGTTCAATTGACAAGTATAAAGGACGTGAATATGTATTTAAACTTATATTCTAGAATTGTCCTGCTTTTATACAACTTGAATCTATTTTTATAAAGTTGATTATGTAGCAATAGAGCTGCTATTGAAGTTGGTAAGCATGAAGTTTGCAATAAAACGTACAAAAAGGTTTCACAAAACACCAAGTCAAAAGAAGTTCCATGAAAAGATCACCTCAATGAAAAATTCTTCGGTAGAATAGAACGCTCATATGAAGAAAAATGCCCTGTTGCTTTTGACATCTCGGTCGGCAGCAATGGCAATGGTTGTCCTAAGTGTTCGTTCTTCGCCCACTTGAGCTTCAAAGCTTGTTACAAGTGCGTATGTAGAATAGCAGGCCATTAGGTTGCCTTCAAAGAGCCTGCGCTCTTCGGGCTGTGTATTCGATCGAAAACTCATTGCACATTTACATATAAAAATACTTACATATTACACGGCTGCGCGCTCCTAGGACTTGCTCAACCCATTTTAACTGCGCTTCTACGGAAATTTTTGGGACCCAGCAGAGCGTAAAATCCTTACCAAGCTAATAACCTGCTTCAATGGTGCATTTCTAGAGACCGCTACCAACTACCACCAGTTTCAGTTTTTTAAAGATATCTACAAAAATTATAAGTAAAACAGAGTAATGGGTCAACCGTAACCATACAGACTTCAATCTTAATGGGTTTCGATCTACACTATCAGATTATATCGTCCCAAAAATCGCAAATCCCAAACCTGTCGAGGGTAACCGGATAACCACCACCAACTCTTCGTATATGAGCCCCCAAATGGAAGCGATTTAATTGGATGGCTAAGATTACGGGGAATTGAACACTTAGCAAAAAAGACATTAGTTGGAATAAATGATTTATGAAGAGGCGATATATTCAACCTAGTATTCTTATCACAGAAGGGAATAATATGCAAGGCTTATATCAAAAGGATTGATTTGGCCAAGAAATGGAGGGCATTGAAATGAGCATATGCATATGGTAATAGGATACCCTTAAGTTCATCACTTGAAAAAGGCTTGTCTCGAATGTCCTATGGAAAGTGCCAAATATTGAAATATAGCTGATGAAACATAAAATATTTATTTTGGATGGTTAATGTTTTCAGTGAATGGGGCCTTCAGTAAGGGAAACATATGCTACCAAAGGTAGGAGCTCCCAAGTCAATAAACGAATAACTGAATATGACTAAGATGGGAAAGTTCACGAAAAATGCACAAAAACAAAGTACCTGTCCAAATAAGCGCGTCTTTGAAAATGCATGGCTTAATATCTTCAGAAGACTGATGAACAGACGAGGCGTAGCATAAGACTCATACCGCTAGTTATTATCCCGATTGCAGGGCACACTCTATGTGTTTAATTCGGAGCATTCGCACATCATAATATTTGCACAATCAACAGTCAGCCATCAGCCAAAAGTGAGAGCGAGATTCTCACAGAAGAAGGAATATACTTTAAGGAAAAACAGAAAAAGCTAGGAAGAAAGAGGAAGAGGAATGTATGTGCAACAAAAATTGCTTAAAAGCCTTGGAATTCAAAAAAGGTCAAGAAAGTCCATGTTGGGACAACATTGAGCAAAAACCTTCGCGCTGCTCCAATCCCCAAATGACAGTCGAGGTAAAAGCATGGTCTCACGACATACGATCTCTTTCAAAGGTAAGAAGAGCAGAAAAGCCGTTGCTTACGCCAAGGTTTCGAAGATCAGATGGGCCGGAAACGTCATGCGAGTTGGTAGTGACGAACAGTGCGGCGACTGATTAGATTCCTCCGGACGTCGAAAACAGCTTCCAATGCGATAGTCAGACTTCTTCACGAAGGGTCTGAACGAAAGGAATGCTATACGTTGGATCCCTCGAGCGAGGATGATCCATTGGACTACTCTGGCCAACGGTAGGAACGAATTGAGACTTCATTGGTGGTTGCTGGAGGAAATCGATGAACAGCAGGTCGACAGGTGATCAGTTTCATGAAATACGAGTATCACTGTTAAGAACAACCGATTCATCATTCGTTTGCGTTCGACTTCACCAAATATAGTGGTTTTACTGTGAAGGTACTATTGGCGTATACAGCGTCCAACAATGGTCGTAATCATGCTCACATTGGCATGATCATTTCTCCAGCCTAATTACTACAATCACTTTTTACTTGTATTGAAACTTTTTTTTACAAATCAGTGATCCAAGAAATGAAAGGTGTTAGCAATCGTTGAGCTGAGCATCGACCTCGCCTCTTTTATCATTACCTCTTTCATTAGCAAAATAAACATGAAAACCGAGTTTCTAACAAATGAAGTAGATTCAACTGACCGTCCAATCCTTGATTTAACCTCATCGATCTTCTCGATGGCCATTTCTACTGCTGTCGCCATGATTACGGTTTAATACGGCCCTCGTGTTGGAACGCGAAGAACTACTGAACAATACTCTGAAGAAAGGATGGGTGAGTTATATGCACGACAGTTTCGATTGCAGTGGATACAAAGGACTAGAGAAAAACGGCACAGTGAAAGCGACGTGGCACATAAACAGTAAATCGAAATAATTCTGTGATAAATAGCTGGCAGAACGACCGGCGAAATGTAGTAAGGGCGGAAACGCTGATTTTGCTTCACTTTGGCTTAAAACTATTACAATGATTCAAATAAACGAAAACTCGGAATGATACTGTGTAGGCAACTAAGTAACTGCGTATATTTTATGGAGAACTTGTTTATTTTATGTAAAATACGAAACACTCACGTACGTGGTCTATAAACATGATTTTAAACGAAGACAGGTATTTACCTTTCAAGATAAAGTTTGAAGTACTTTGAAAAACATGCAGTTACGCTAGAAAAGCTAGAGAATCTTAAGCCGCTAAGTTAGTGCTCTATGCAAACAACGGAGTCAAAACCGCCTAGTAAGGGAGTCTCTGCAAGGGAGGAGTCCTTCCTGAAACAAAAAAAAACAGAGGCTCTACACAAGGGAAACCCAAAAAAAGAACGACAGCTCCTGAACCCAACACAAAACCTTGCTGTTTGAGATGTTAAAATGTGTTATGGGGTATATGAAACTACATCAGATTCGCTAGTAAATTTTTCTGTTTAACCATAATGTATTGGCTTGTTTTCCAGTGAAGTCGATAGGAATCACATTTTTTGTCGTGATTGTTCCTGAAGCCAAGACTTCAGGAGCAAGCTCAAAAGCTCTGAAACTCTTTCCCAACCGATTAAAACTACCACCATCATCCCCATCTTTCTCAAGTTTCCTTTCACTTTTGATGGCGTGCAGTGATATAATCCAACCAAGGTTCACAAGCAGTCTAATCACTATCACAAGGCTAACAGGAAATGAACAAGTTTGTGAAATTTACGGCTGACTCTTACAAACCGCTCTTGAAAAAAGGATCGCTAGGTGCTGTGGCCATACAATCGATGGAGAATATGATTGTTGTTGAAGAATGTTTAGTTGTTTCCGTATCACATATGGGAATCAACACCAACACCACCTGATCAGCGGAATCCACTTAGTTCGAGTCAATTTACCAACTGAATACCAATATTCCCTACAATTAGAAAGTTATAACAAAGAGCAAAAAGAAAGCGGAGCAAACTAGAAATTAATCATCGCGGGTAATCGATTGGTGCTCCATGCACAAGTCCGCAAACTTGCGTCGCTCATTTTCACCTCATTACGAATGCAACAATGAAATTGCCGGCAAGGAGGAGCACTTGGGAGATGGAAGGGACTTTTCGACAGGAGCTCGATGTGCGAGTAGGAAGTCGGGCGTTCATTATGACTCAGTTTCTGGACAACACCTCAAATAGTACAACTAACCACCACGAAGGCTGTCGGCCTTACTGGTGCGATTTGCCAAAGTGGAAATTTAGTTGCTCAAATATTGGGAATTCAGCACAGTAGAAACTGAAGTTATTTTCCAGTCCCTTCATAAAACAGAATAACTGCTTGTTTCTCTACGTTGCTTCTCCAAGGGTTTGACTTTTGGGTAGGAGTAGTAGAAGTTCAGGGTACCCAAGGTTTTCTGGCCTCAGTGGGTTGTAGCCATCATCAAAGATTACTATGAAATCGAAGCGGAAAATTATAGCCATGCATAAGCGCCTAGAGAACATCTGGATCTAAATGAGAATTATGGCGTTCGTTTCCAGCAATCATGGTTTTTGCCCATGTCCGACCACCCACATGCAAGGTGGTCGAGACAAAAGGACGCGCTGGGCGGGCAGCCTGAGACAAGCACCGGATGAATAGCTGTCGTGTGATCACCATGGTGATTGAACCACCAATATCTCATTGTATTTGCTTGTTTCACTTCTAGTAAAAGGTGAATGATGGAGTCTTTAGCAATACTCACCCCGTCTGAAAGATTTGCCCACACATTCGACTTCTATTCAGAATCGTAGTGGCGTATTGAACGGCCTATATGGCCTATGCAATGACTTGCGGTGGCCAGGCGATGTCAGTCAGTGCTTTTATCCGCCCAGACGAGTCTGGTACCAACTAATCGACCCCGGAGGGATTGGTTGCTTAGGCAGATGGCGACCCGGGATTCGTACCTGGGACCATACATATGTTCGTGTGTGACAGTGGACCACTCCTACTACACCGCCTACGCTCTTCACTACCAGTAAATATTAGAAACCTGCTGAACCGCCAACACAAAAAAAGATAACCACCTGTACATTTCACCCTCAAGAAGATTTATTGGCAAGCTGGAGGCCACGTTTACCACCTGTTCGCTCATTGAGATCGAGCCCCGCTCCAGCGTTGAGTTGCTTTATGGGTTAAAATATTGGATATACCAGTAAATGCGGAGGTGGGCAGATAGATAAGCAGATCTTTCGTGGAAGACAGCTGGATTTTTGACCTGCCTTGAGAATCGACCAATACTGAGTCCTATGCGGAAGCCTACACCTATACCAGTCGCAGTATCTCACCACGTGTACGAGCGGAGGGATGCGGGTCAGCTGACAAAGCGGCTAGGCGAAGATGTATGGAGAGTAACAAAAAGGGTTTAAAAATGAATGAATGCTAACAGGTAGGCAATCATGCTGCACGAAGTGAAGGGTTCTCTGGGATCTCGAGAGAAAAGAGGGATCAGCCCTATTCTCCCGAAGAAGACTGTTCGCTGCTTTTTCATCATGCATAGAGCAGATTTTTACAAGATGGTTTACTGGCAGTTTGCGAACGTCCTCGAACAAATAATCTATTTTGCTGATGAAAAAGTGGTGGAAGTAATGTAATGGGGGTCGCCGCTGTTACGAACACGGTCCCGAGATAGGATCGTTCGCGGGGCCTCGTTCAAGTGGCACTACGATTCTAAACGAAAGTTGAACTCAGACGAGGTTGCTCAGAGGTGAAAGACTTCAGAATCAGGAGAAAGTCTACTTAAAACCCGACATATTGCCATAAAAGTGACATAGTCGTTCTTGAGAAGGCGTGCCTGAACATCATCTTTATTGGATTCCTTTTCACAATTATATTGAGGTATCTAGTTCTCGACGAGTAATCGAACAGGTAGTCCAGAATAGTAAAAATGGGCAGAGGAAACTGAAATTCGCCGTATTTAAAAAAATAAGGCTCAAAAAAGTATTGCAGCTAGGGGATAGGTGTTAATGTAACAAGGATCATAGAAGGGGTATTTGGACGAGCCATCCGAAAGTGTGTCACTGCTACAGCTGGTTACAGTATGCTGATAGCGTGCACTGGAATCTCGCCAGTCTTGAGGTCCTTACTGGGCCTATCAATGCCATTTTTCAAACCAAAAATGTCTCCTGTGCCATCCTTGGGAGTCACAGGTTCGTCCCATGGAGAAGACTCAGAAACTATTTCTATCGTGAGCTGTGGTTTCAAAGGATTCGAGCTTTCAGGGTTCGAGCTTGCATCATTCGTCAACAATACATCAGTTTTCAAAAGAGATGAGCATAAAAGTTTATGGCGTCGATCGATTCCGATAATTGGTGTGCACCACCCATTCAACTCCATTCGGGATTGCAGTGGAGCCTCAACAATGGCTTGAGATGGCCAACCGATACACAAAAAAATGATTCCATCTTTTCAGACGAGTCTGATAGCATTTAGCCACCTTCGAAGGCACAGAAGGCTCGGAAGGCCCCAGGTCTCGATACCTTGGACCGTGTATGCGGAAGTGCACCCTTTCTCATTACTTCCCGTCGCGTGAATTTTCCGTACACGTGGGTACTAGTGCCACGAGCCGCACTAAAGTCCTAAAGGTAGTGACTGTCGTACGGTAGCTGCATTTCTCGTTATGTTTTTTTTCGCTGGGAATGCGGCATAATTATTTTAGCAATTTTCTTTTTTTTTCATCTCACGTACGATTCCCAGTCGACTTAATGGAAAATTGTGGATACCCAAGTTTGCATAAAAGGTGCCATCGAGCCCAGTCACCTGTATCACTTGCCCCAATAGACTGATAAACCGTGACTGACGGAAACTTGCAGTTCCAGAGAGATTGCTCCTCGGAGACATCACTTAATCACTGAGAAACTAACATGATTACATGGAGTTACGCCAAAGGAATATCGAGAAGTTCTCGGAAATGAAATGGATGGCCCTTTATCTCAATCGGTTGATCAAGAACGTGCTAATTAAAGGCGCAGTTCACGATGATTTGGAAGAATCTTTTTTGAGTGAAATAGTGGAAGCCATAGTTCAGAAAAGTGCAAGGGGTGAAGAAGGAAACGCGATATTGTTGGATTTTGAAGACCTTATAAAAAGTAGCAAGAAAGGAGGTTGTACGAGATAGTCGTATGGGCTACTCTCACTTGAGCGTACTACATACATATTTCTCTCGTCCTGTGTATAGTGCAGTGATAAAAAGGCCGTCACAAAACGACCCTTTCGGGTGTCTGCGTCGGTTAGACCGTTTTGGAGCCCTCATTACGCCCTATTTATAATACTTTTCTATAATACTTAGGCATGACAATATGGCGGAAACAAGTGAATTCGACTTAACCTAATTTTTATGTTTTTGTTGTCGTGCTGTTCTGACTATGTCACGGAATAGTGTCAGGATAAGCTGTAGTCTCATCGAGAAGGTTCCATGATCGGCGGGGAACGAGAAGGTGCCCTGGTTATGATCAGCCGACTACTCTAGCCCTCCCTCACTGCATTGTCGTCGTCGTCTTCGCCCGCCGTCGTCCATCACTCATCTATCATCGCTTCTAACGCAGTTCCAGCTTGTATCGCCGCACCTTCATTGCTTCCACCTATTGTTCCATGCTGATGATTCCATTTCACGGATGGAAGGAACGTCGAGTGATCGACTCACTGCCGTTGTGGATATAAGTGTAGAGTCGTACTATCGCAGGAGGATGGATGCCTCGGATGGCCTGTATGTAGGTTGTGCAGGAACGTACACTCACTCCTTCATAGATATACCACTTACTGGATCCAAAGTTCACTGGAGGTGAGAAGTGTCTGCGACAACCCTGTGAGGAAACTACAGTGGCTGAGAGAAGCTAGATCCCCTCCCAAGAGGGAACCAGATTGAGAATGATCATCTGTAAACAAATTGTTGTCATTTTTGTGAGTAACTGCGTCCACTGCCTCCACCAGAACGTTGTAGATACTTAGTATTGATTTTTACAGAGGTTCATCAATTAATGTAATTTTTTATTGGCAGCACTCTTCAAAATATTTTGATTGGGCATCACGGGTATATTCCTTACACAAACAGTAAGTAGAAGCCGTGAACAAGGGGCAGGAGATGAAATATCGGACAACGTTAGGATACAACTGATATTGCATGGTAGGTAATCTGATACTATAAGTTTGTACGAGTCTCTTATGAAGGCATGAATATGAAAAACGATTATTGATCGGTTGAGCGTAAAATCGATGNACAAGAGGTCCATCGATCAATGTAATTTTTTATTGGCAGCACTCTCAAAATATTTTGATTGGGCATCACGGGTATATTCCTTACACAAACAGTAAGTAGAAGCCGTGAACAAGGGGCAGGAGATGAAATATCGGACAACGTTAGGATACAACTGATATTGCATTAAAGGTAATCTGATGCTAAAAACTTGTACGAGTTTCCTTATGAAGGCATGAATATGAAAAACGATTATTGATTGTTTGAGCGTAAAATCGATGCACATCTTAAAGCAAACACATTAGTATAGCAGGCTGAAGTGTTGGAATAGCCTAACCTATCGACAAAAAAAAGACTAGAAGTCCGCATACAAAATCTAGTACGCTTAAATCAGCTTCTCAATGGTCTTCTGGTGTTCATCCGGTTTGTACAATAGGCCGTTGTAAAGTCTGAAAATCCCAATTTGCCTTATGAAAGCTCAACAGAGATTAATTGTGGCCGAAGGTTACCTGTAGAAGCAATCATGGCAGTAAGGCCGTCGGTCATGCTCTCTGAATGTCCCGTGCATATTCAAAGCCTGAAATACGAAACGCTTGATCACATAAAGCAGATAGAAGAGAGCGCATGGGCCGTGTTTATACTCTGCAAACTTGCAGCTGCGCGTCTAGCTCCATCGTACAAATGCAAATGAGATAATGTTTTTGTAGAAGAGAAGGAGGCTGGTAGAGAATACCGGTACGTAAGTGACACACCATGAGTTAAACGATGCTCTTTTACAGCTCAAACGGGCTCTTTATGAATTCGGTTGACGATAGTTTCGCTGAGTATGAACGCAAGTTTTCCAACCGATTTGCCGCGCAACCGTGGAGATATCGAAACTAACCTTCTGGCAATAGCAACACATAAAGTGATATGTATGGAATTTTTGTGCACGTTCAGAATTTGGTGCTAAAGCTGTCAAAATTGGTCCATCGATTTCTTCACTGCAATAGGCGCAGACGACTGGTGCCATTGGTGGTGGAGAGCCCTGAATGCATCGCGTTAAAGCCCTAATCTGTTCATACTCCCTAGAATACTATTGCATAGCCCGAAATCATTTCTAACTCGATAGATAGAGCTTCCGGAAGGTAAAGCTTAAAGCAACTTATACTTTCTAGTTACTCCTAATAATTCATCCTGATTACCTCGATCTGGAGCGTTCTTCTCGGAGTTTCGGACCGTGCACGTGAACGACGGAGGCTGTTGGTTTGACTTTCAGTCATGGCCACTCCATAGTCACGTGAAACTTCGTCGACCGTGTACTTATCTTCTGGTACTACTGAATATAGTTCGATTTGGAGGGGTGAAACGTATCGTTCCCAAATCTATCCTTTTTAGTTTACTTCTGACAAAATCTAGGTACGCCATTGTCAAGGCGAATATAGCGAGGAAAAAATGTCGAAAACATCATATAAGAATTTGGGAACGATACTCTTCTTGAGGATTCATAACGGAAGATCTAAGAAGGGATGAGAGTGCTTACCATGGCGTGGTTTTGGTGAAGGGAATGGATGCTCTCCTTCAGCTGGTGGTGACAACCGTAGATGGTACTCGATCTCCTGGAAACAACCAAATTATAGGGCAGTTCCCTTGAGGCCGGATTCCGAGAGATTGACCCAGCCGGGGAGAGAATCCTATCGAGGTTCAGGTTGTCAGGCCCGGGTTGAAGTGGCCGGAAAAGCATTCCCAGGGCTCTGGGTTCTGAATGACCCACAGTAGCATGTCAGGGGAAATGTTTATCAATTCACTTCGAACTTTTGGGATACAGAAAAATCGACGGATATATGAAATATATATTGGACTCACAGTTTGGCAGTAAGAAAGATATCCCCCTGTCCAGCTCATGCCTAGAAAGAATGAAGAGAAAGTGAAGCTTCTCTGGGAAAGCTTGAAAGGAAAGGCTGGGCAGAGGCAATCGAGGTGCGAAGTACCTGGTGGAATTATATGCCGCTGAGCTCCCTCTTCAGCTACCGTATGCCCATTTCCTCGTGAGAACCTGACGCTTGAGACTGACCTCTCTTTGGGTGCTTTTCCTGCCATCTTTTCCACGACCATGTCCTCGTCTGAGAACCTCAGCTGTCGCATTCACGTCGTATACAAGCGCTGCGAGAGTGTCTGTTACAGCGTTTTGGCCTGAAACCAACGGGAGTATCAGAAAGATCGTTGATCTGAGCAGAAAAGGCCGTAAAGGAGACTTACGTTGGTCTTCTTTTATTTTTCCAAGCTCACGGTTCATATCCTCAGTTGAGACAGCCTGAAAACAACATTCCGAGCTTGGCCAGTTTGGGTAAGATTCCAAATACTCACCCTGAGTCGTGTGCTAAGAAACTCGTCTGTTGGTGAGACGGAAACCCGTCCAGTAACCTCCATTTCAGTTTGAAACTGACGGCGTTCCAATCGCTATAACAAAAGAACATCAGACCCTGGACTGACTCACTTCAAACTCGTCTAATGGAAGGCTTCATTAGCTACTTGGAATAATTTCTACCAGTTCATACTAGAGGCCGGTAACATAGGGATATTTCTTTCCTTTTTCTTACAATCTGCTACCGAAATCCTTTTTAAAGCTGTAAGACACCCTCAAATTTCTTAGCCCAGGTCCTTGATTTCACTGTTGGTAAGTAGGGTACTATTCCACTGAAGATAATGTTCCATATTATGTTGATACAGGCCTATCGTTTTTCTTACCATTTGTTGTCCCCTTCTCCGAATGACTTCCGTTGTCTTTTCAACATCATCCTTCAGAGCAGTAAGAGTGCCGCTGACAATTTCATCTTCTGAAAATAATTCTTTGAGAAATCATATCTGGAGACTTACTCCGAAGGCAATTCAAGCTGTACTACTCAATTTTTCTCAGAGTAAATTGTTGTCCCTAAAAGTATGGATCCCGTAATGGCTTGGCAACTTAGAGTCAGTAAGAGAAGCCTCGATACTTTCTTTATATATACGCTCTAGAATAGCGGATAGATGTTCTTGAAGCCAAACTTCTTCCATTTATCATGTTAATCGTGAAGAGGAAATGTTTCCCAACAAGGGATCGAAATTGTCTGAAAGACCCTATTTGCACGATTTGGACGCTCACTCTGCTTTGGAGACCCCTTCCGTCCCACAAGGTCCTTACACTACAGCGTAACCATTCTTGCTTACTGTGGACAGGTTGTACAGGTAATTCCAGCCGTGAACGTAACACAAATATAGGCAGACCGGTCTTTATTTTACGTTTCGTTCTCCTCTTTTTTTTTGCTTTACTACCGGCTAGCCCAACAATTACGGAATCATCATTCCTCATATTTACAGACGCTCTAGTATTATTTGTCCTTTCACAGTGAACACAACCAGTTCCAGTTTTGTACTCACGTTGGCTTGGTTCCTCATCGTTACGGAACACCTTGTTACTGCTACGGCTTTCGCTACGCCATCTGGCCACATGTCGATCCACTGGATCCGGAATCGTTGACGCACGAGAGTCACTACGGTACTCTGAAATGAGGCATTTTTCGGATTGCAAGGCACGGTGAAAAATTTTATTCAAGAGCTACTGTGGGATAACGGTGGCCCATCAACTGTTCCGCCCTGGTGGTAGGTGAAGGGGGCGTGAGGAGATTTAAGAAACGGATTTATAAATGGACATATGCAGTGAGCTGAAACCTGGCTCAGATGATAAAAACTGATCACAGGAAGACTCCAAGCGGACTTAGACAACAGTCTCAAGCCCGGAGAAGTTGAGCGTTTTCCTTTTCGTGCCTTGCCTGGCTCTACATCGGTAAGGGTGGTCAAACCGCAACTTTTCTCAACGAACAGAGTTCAGCAATTCTTATGTCCCTCTGCTTGAACAATGAGAAAGACAGCAGGCACGAAGAACCTCAACTGGGAATTGTAATACATGCCTAGGGGATAATACTACTACACGAACTCGGTGCTAGTCTACCGAAAGTTGATGGTCAGGATTTCCAAAAGTGAAAATGAAGTCAAAATTCAGAACCAACAAGCGCAATCAAGATCGTTTCAGTTTTGCTCATTTGTAAATGAATGGTAGTCAGTCTCTATTACAAATAAACATATAGTAAAAAGTGTTTATTTTTCGAAATTCACTTTCTTTATTCCTACCCGCTACAATAATATTCCCAACATGCGAATAAATGAACAGCCGATGGACAAGGAGGTTGGTAGAAAATAAAAGAGTGTAAGGATAAAGGTTTTGTCTCGAGTCAGCTCCCTCATGGTGATGTGGCCCACGTTGGAATTCCGTTCAGAAACATAGTTTAACGTGTATGTAGCCTATACAGCAACTTGCGCTGGCCAACCAGTGTACAGGTCAGTGCTTTTATCCTCCCATCCTCCCAAACGAGTCTGGCACTTCCTGAACTACGAAGGGCATGAGTTGGCTGGGTCAATCATGAGCCGGAATTGATTTGATCCCAGGGCCATAAGTATGGTAGAACGCTCCATTTGCCACAATACCAGGAAAAGATCAAAGAATTCCAATCACGAAAACTTACGTGGATCACCCTGTGTCTGACGTGACTCCGAACGCCAGTGGTAGCTATGTGTCGACACTGGTGACACGGCAGTCATATTACTAAAATATAAAAATCACTTTGAAAATGGGAGAGAAGTAGGTCACCTCTGAGTAGAGAAGCAAGGTCACAATGTAACAGGTCAATAATACAGGCGGATAACATCTGATACGGAATGAGAGCGTGTGATAATAAGTGATCAGGTCGCAAAAAATCATGCGAAGCTTGTAGTAAACTGTTTAGTAAAGAGAATGTAGGCAGCAAGGGATTTTTTTAAAGATATTTTCGTGTATTTGACATTCACGAAGGGTCACTAAAGCTTTCAGCTAATGTGGTTCGTTGTTTTCGTCCTATATAATGAGATTAAGAGTCGGCCGATGTTTGAGTTTGTATTTGTCCCTCTATTTAACGTCAACAGAAGTTATCTGGTCTTAAAGAGTTAGGCGGCCTGGGCACACCTCTACTCGGCTGACTGTGAAGGTAGGAAATGGTGTCTTCGCCCACCACTGATAAACAAACTATAGAACGTGAAAGCCTTGGGCAACAACTTGGAAGAATCCCATAGAAGAAGGTCAGAAAAAATTCCGAAGGAAGGATCTCTTGACGAATGAGTGCAGCCAAAACCTGCTTCGAGAGAAAGAGTAGAAGCCGCAGAGGTATTTGTGAGCTGTCCGATCGAAGGAAGGTAGTATTTCTCCGAATATGAGCCGAAAAAGGAGGAACTCTAAGAATGAGATGGTCTCAGTCGATTTTTTGAACTGCCAGCTGTCAAAATCAATTAGGAAGACGTGAAGTATTTTCGTAGAAATTGAAAGATCAGCAAAGGTCACCATACGTTCATATGTATTTGTCACTCATGTGGGCGTGAAAATCGTAGAGTATGACGTTGAGTAAACATGAAAGAACATTTCACAAGGGTGTTTTCTAAATGGTTTTATCGGGGTTCCCTGTCGATAAACACATGAAGACATAGTGCTTCGACAAGGAAGCCAGACATCATGTCTGTGTAAAAAGCAGTTCCGTCGAAAGGCCGAGTGGAACGAACCCCCCTCTGTGAGTAAGATGTACCGATTGGTAATCGCAGAAGACACGCCGATTTCGGTGTCTACAAACAAGAAGCCGAAACGCAACGACCACTTTGTCGGAATGAATCCTGTCTACCCTTCAAAGAATATTCATAGCCTTCCACCCCACCCCCTCTCCCACCCTGGCTAGCTTTGATGGTTATTATGTAGCCAGAGAAATTGTGCCAAATTACAACTAATAGAAGACCTAATTCCTTCTTTCACAACCGAGCTCGCAATACAAGTCGGGTTATATCATAGAAATCGCTTTGTCCCCAGCACAGTTGCGGTTAGTATAAACGGCCTAAAAGCTGCTGAAAAAGGTCCTCTCGTTCCTTTTTTGTTGCTTTTTCATAACTACAGGAAGCGAATTTTTTGAAACTTCATGCTCAATTTAGATATTTGATTTTATTTTCAAACAGAGGTGAAGCAACATGTGGCGCACCATCACCCACTCATGGTCACAAGTTCGAATCCCGATATATCAGATATCCGTCCAGGCCAACCGCTCCTTCCATCTCTCCGAGGTTGGCTAATTGGTACCAAACCCGTTTGGGAGGATGCACTGATTTGTACAGCGTCTAGCCATCTTTAATCATTGTATAGGGCATTCAGAATGCCACTACAATTCCGGATGGAAGCCCTATGCAGGTGCCTATCCCCAGACGGGATTGATGAACGATCAAAGATTCTCTCTTATTCCTTGAATAAACAAGTGGCCTGAAAACAGCTACGTTGACCTGTTTGATGCCATTTATCCTTGCACCTGATCTACAAAGAGCTTGATTGGTACCTACAGAGGGGCATGCACACAGAGATGATGGTAACGCAAGGCTTCTAAGCGTGCTTTCGAAACATAAGTTTCTGATGAGTCTAAACATAAAATTCTTGGGACGTTAATCGGGCCCGGGATTCCGAGGGATGCGCCTTGCTCACGCAATTAGAGATGTTATGAGCATATTAAATTCTTTTTTCGTAGCAACCGCATTTATTGCGAAAGTTAAAAAGAATCACTGTATACAGTAGCGCTCAAAAGTCTTCGGTGAAATGGTTCTTCAGCCGTACTTTTCAGTCGTAACTCCTTTCCTAGTGGATCTAATCATGCGAAATTTCTATATTTGGAGCGTGGGTGTATTGTGACTATTTACCACTATTAACCTGCAATCTGATCATGTTCCAGATATTCCAAGGAGC